AAAAAAAAAAAAAAGAAAAAAAAAAAAAAAGGAAAGAAAATAATTTGAGAGGCAAAAAAGTACATGTATGGAATAGCTTACATGTCCACTTTCAAAAGTACGATCTATCTATTAGCATGTTATGCAGGTATTAAAACTGTCCTTTAAAACAAATTCTAAGTAAAATGTGAATTGCAATAAAAGATAATGCAAATCTTCAAATACAGAGCAATTTTAATTTTGTAAATAAACATGTATTTACATAAAATATGAAAATAAACGGTTATGTCTTGTGAATTATCAAAATTAGGGTCCATTATCTGATATTTAAAAGCTTTAACTCATCTACTTTTAACCTATTTTTGAGTATACTTAAAAAGTCCAGTTATAACAAGATGCAAAAACATTCAAATAGGTAAAACATGAAGTCATTTAGGAAAGGCTAAACATTTTTTTCCTTTATCCTATGAGGCAGACATGCAGAAACAAAAATGCATTATACTAAAAAATTCAACACAGAAGTGAAAAAAGACACTAGACAATTTTTTTTTGTTACAAAGTGAGCAACTTAATTTACATGCTCTTAGTGTAAAAATGCAGAACACTTAAAAAACGAACAAAAGCAGCCAGGCATGGTGGCTTATGCCTGTAATCCCAGCACTTTGGGAGGCTGAGGCGGGCAGATCACCTAAGGCCAGGAGTTCAAGACCAGCCTGGCCAAGATGGTGAAACCTCACCTCTACTAAAAAATACAAAAATTTGCCAGGTGTGGTGGCATACGCCTGTAATCCCAGCTACTTGGGAGGCTGATGTGGGAGAATCACTTGAACCCAAGAGGCGGAAGTTGCAGTGAGCCACGATTACGCCATTGCACTCCAGCCTGGGCGACAGAGCGAGACTCCGTCTCAAAAAATAAGAACAAAAGCATAGAGTTAAGACAGAAGCTAGTTGTGCTAGGGCTTCATAATTTTTATTTAAAATTACTTTATTATTGTTTTAGAAGTTTCACCAAGGTCCTAAGATCACAAGGAAAATGGTGATGAATTCCCTAGAAGAATCCAGGTGATTTCTAACCATGCCTCCCACCCACGATCCAAGCACATCTAAATACATTCAGATGGGCAAATACACATAGCTCAGTAGGGTCCAAAGAAGTGGACAGTTGTAATTCATTGTTTATGCTTGCTGGAGTTTCTTGGTATCTTACTTTCAAATTGTTTCTTTAATGAGTTGCATGTGAATTTTTCAACTTCTTAGAAGCTATGCATAAAATCTTGATGACACCTTCTATTTTAATAAAGTAATGTATCTACCAAGTACCTAGCTGAATGCCCATGACCTAGAAGCTACTCAATAAATTCTGATTCTTTTCTATAACAACTTCTACCAGTAAAGAGTTTAATAATCTATGGTAATAATTATAAGCAAGGACCGTGTTTCACTGTTTCACTCTTGACTTTGCCTTTAAAAACTGCACACTGTGAAATATTCAATTGTATTAACTTGAAAGAAAAATTAAGGGAATTAAGAATTAAGCTAGCAACACACAGAGATTCTGTCAGGAAAGAGTGTAAGTGACTTAAAGCATCTACTACAGTCATAATAACATAATAAACACTATGACCTGTGCTAGACATACCAGAAAATTCAAATAAAGGGTAGGATTTATTTGAAGTTACCGGAATTAACACATAGTTAATTCTGATTAATTACCAGAATCAAGAATCAACTGCCTTAGAGTATCTCTCTCTACATATATACCACTTACCGATTTCAGGTTCACAAACTGATGGCATGATTGTTATATATTGGGAAGAAGTAAATATTTCCAAGAACTACATTATACTACTTTTTCTTTTTGAAATGATAGACATAAGCTAAACTTTAAGAGCTTGTCAACTATCAGTTATGAGTTCCATATGTATAAAAATCATGACTTAAAGATAATATTATAAATACTAGAATACATCAAATAAAAGGAAACTATAAAATTCCATCTTAACTTATAAATCACTGCTCATTTTACTTACAAAAGATTTTCCTTTATTTTTTTCTTCATCGTGATTCCACTCTATCAACTATAAGTTGCATATGTTTGCACTGCATTTTTATTAGGTGGCTCAAATCCATTTTAGTACAAAGTAAAATATAAATGATTAAGATAAAATGCAAAGAAATAGCAAAATTAATTTTACAGAAAATTTATTCTAGTTTAAAATGTTTTTTTTTTAAAAGGGCACTACAATATGCTTCAAAAAAAAATTCCCTATGCCTCCACCCATTATGTATGTTTTATATTTTAACATTTCACTCTTTCCATGCAATAATGAATTAAAACACATCAAATCAGCACTGAAAAACACACACAAGAACTTCAGGTCTAGACTTAGACATAGTGACATAAAGTTTAAAGTGTAAACATGGCATTAAGAATTCAACAGTAATTCTTCATTAAAGCTTTTCTTTTGTTCTGGGAAAGCAGCACATGGAAGAAAAGGTGAAGGTATTAAAAGGAACAAAACTAACATAATTTTAATTACACGTATGAAGAACACTTTGGGTTTTTCTTAACAGTATTCATATGCCTGTCTCACTTGAGAAAAATAAAACTCATGAAACCAAACACATTTGGTAAGGTCCAAAATGGGGTGATTCATTATACTTACTGGTATTTTTCCATTTGGCAAAATGGGAGAAAAGTGGTTAAGACAATAAGAATCATACCTAAGAGGGATGTCTCCTTGGCAAATGCTGCAGCAATAGCTGGGTCCAATGCAGGTTGTCCATCCCCAGAGGGAAGATCAGGTCGAGTATAATCCCTACTTTTATCATTGTTGTATTTTACATTCAAATTCACAAGTTTGGAAAAATCAATCCTTAGGGTACAGCAGGCATTATAAATATTCTGACCATCTAGGGCCTGTAAAAGTGAATAAAGTATATCAGCAATCTTAAAGAATAAAAATTAGTGAAAGTATAATTTTAATAATAAAACTCAAAAACGAAAACTCAAACTTAAAAGCCACCAGCAACTGCCAGGCACGGGGGCTCAAGCCTGCAATCCCAGCACTCTGGGAGACCGAGGTGGGTGGATCAGGAGGTCAAGAGATCGAGACCATCCTGGTCAACATGGTGAAACCCCGTCTCTACTAAAAATACAAAAAAACATTAGCTGGGCGTGGTGGCGCGTGCCTGTAATCCCAGCTACTCAGGAGGCTGAGGCAGGAGAATTGCCTGAACCCAGGTGGCAGAGGTTAAGGTGAGCCGAGATCGCACCATTGCATTCCAGCCTGGGTAACAAGAGTGAAACTCCGTCTTAAAAATAAATAAATAAATAAAGCCACCAGGAAAAGGGTTAAAATTTCATACATCTTATTTTGTTGTTTGGCTGTGCATGTATTAGTTTCCACCAAATATTATCTTCCTTAAATAGAAAATGCTACTTCAATCTAAAATACAACCAGCTAAGCATCCATGCTAATACTTTTAATTTTTTTTAATTGCAAATAAGTTTTTAAAAACTAATAAGGGTCATAAACAGGAAGTACTACTGAAGTAGTACCACATTACCCTGCTCAGTAAGGTTAATTTTATTATACATATATTTATTGCTGGATGGCAGTACTTATATGAATCAGTACAGTTTTATGAAGTAACGAAGTAACTGCTATTTGATGCTACACTGTACAAGGTTGCTTCAAACCAAATTATCCTAACACACAATAGCAATTCCTATAAAATGAGGTAAACAAGAAAAAAGCTAGTATTTTCCTTAACCTGAAATGTTCAACTCCAATCAGATTATCTTGATGAAATTAGCAAATCCAATGTCATTCCAGAAAAGTTCTGAAATTGATGAGTGCCAGGTCTAGAATTAATTAAAAGCCTAGACTCTATTAGGTTATCTTAAGCAAGTTTTTTAACCTCTCTGAATCTCAATTTCTTAATCTGGAAAACAGGAATGATGACAATAGCTGTCATGCTTCTTCATAGGGTTATTATGAAGAGTAAATTAAAGATCACATATGTGAAAATACATCATGAATTTTAAAGGACTATGTTACTGCTATGATTATGGTGTATTTTTCTGCTCCTATATAATCATCATTTATAGTTCAGCTGGCGATAAGCTGTTAACAAACTAAAGAACAGGGAAACATGCTGTTAAGTTTTCATTAGAAGAATGAACATGTCCTGTTATGGAGACAGTAAACCTCCACAGCTTAAGTATATAAAGTTTTAATTCAAATATTCTCACCTCTGGGAATATAAAACCTTTCCTCTTAATACACGAAATTTTTATGTGACTAATTAACCTAGCTAAAAACTAACCTAGAAAATAATTCAGCACAGGTTCATCCACTTAAATACAGCACTGGTAAAAACTCAAAGGGACTTCATACACATCAGGATTTGAATTACATTCGGGTTAGGAAAAGTACCTATCATCACATAAAAGTGGAAGCCATGTATCAACTTTAACAGCCAGAATAACATAACTATTAATTCAATACCCTGCTGTAAAGGCAAACAAAGCATAGAAGATAGGTATTCATTTACTAATGTAGCATTCCTATAGGGAAAATGTGAGGTAAGTAGTAGAACTGATGTTTCTACACAATAGACAAATATCAAAAGATGAGTAGCAAAATTCACTCTTAGGTGACTACTTCACTATTATCAAAGAGAAAATGATACCTTATGAGAAAAGACCTGACTTAGAGTCACAGTATCTAGGTTAATGCTAAAAGTACTAATACAAAATTACTAAACCCACACTAAGTTTCTTAGGAGCTGAATTATTTCCCAGCAATACTGAGATCGACTGCCAAATTATCTAATGAATATGCCAACTGTTAGAAAGTCCTCCAAGAAGCTTTGAAAATTTCCCTTTGAATATTAAAAAAAAAAAACAAAAAACAACTTTATGTAGGTGGAAGATACACAAGTATATGTAAGGTATAAGAGTTAGAGAAATAAGCAAATAAGATGTAAATTAATCATCATTTAGCAAAAGAGGAAAGAAATAGCTGAGGGTGCATGATAACAGAAATCCAGGTATAATAGTTGGCTAAAGCCGGTGACCATAAATAAGAAAGGGAGTAAATCAAATTCAAAAAATATATGCAAGTTCACATCAAGCTCATGTATTTGCAAAATTCCAAGAAACAGCAGTAGCACCCAAACCTGTCCTGTGATTCAGCAATCAGGAATGCAGTGAGCTTGTTGGAACAAAGATTTCTGACAATAAAAGCTCAAAACACTTTGCAGAACGCAGAATGACCTTCTAAATGTGCCTACTCACAGTTAAAGTTTAAACAGTAAGCAAAAATCTTCATGAAAAAAAATTTCATGTAAATTTAAAAATTATGGCTAAAACATGAAAATCAAAACACAAGAAAGATATTAGGCACAGAAATCATAATTAAACCAACACAATGAAACACCACATATGGACTTTTGAAAACATGAAAAGCCACAATAAAACGATTTCCATTTTTCTCAATGTTTGCTTTTTTGAAGAGATTGTTGGGGATCAGATTTAACACATGCTGAGAGAAACTGTAACTTCGAAATTCTTTAAATATCTACTTTTTAATTTTTGGCAAGTCATGAAAAATTATCAAAATTATCAAAATCAAAAACAACACAAAATTAAGCTTATACTACTAATACAATACTTTAGGCTATTTACCAATACCAAACAACCTGACCCTGGTAGATTATGCAGGATTTTCCTAAAGCATCTTAAAATCATTGATTTCATCATAAATCCTCCATTAATATGAATGTAAAATATATAGGCTGTAAATTAAACATAGTCAAGGAAAATCTTTGCCCAAGAAAATAGGAAAGGATAATTCCATTAGGTGTCTCAAAGAATCTGCATAAAGCAATGTGTACTCTGTGAGAAGAAAATGAATGACATAATCTTACTGCTGCAAATAACTTTACCTGATATTTTTATTATGTTAGTGATGAAATACAATCTCCTAGAATAAATAATAACAACCCACTTACATGTTAAAATAAAATCATATAAACAGTACTTCCAAAAGACACAGTATCAATGTCCAGTGTCAACTAAATATATTCCTAATAAAGACATGTTTCTGAAAAGCTGTTTCTATTAACAAAAACAAAAAACAACCATTTCCTACTCATGTGTGTTGTAATTTAAGGACTACATAATTTTTAAATTCCAAGTGAAAAGGAGATTACACTGTGTCTTATTATAATATTAAAAAGACTGGTATTTTTATGTATTAAGTAATTACATTTCTCAACACTGTAAAAGCTGAATTAGAATGCCAAGAGAAGCCATGTCTTTGCCTATTACTTTCCAAAAAATAAACAAGATTTTCTAAAAGGTATTAAGGTGTTTTCTTTAATAAATATGAGGACCATATAAAATACTGTTTATTGATAATTAGGGTTCTCATTATGATTTCTGATTATCACCGTAAATGTCAATGCTTAATAAATATAGCAGAGAACAAAGCAGATATGATACTCAGAACTCACAGTCCAACAGAAAATATACACATTTAACAAATTATAAATTTTATGTGTGGTACTGAGAACTAAGAAGGGAAGGGATCTAATCTAGTCTTAAGGAAGACTTCTCTCAAGAAGAGACTTCTAAACTGATACCTGAAAGACGAAGACAAGCAGAAGTTGGGCATAAAGAGATGAAGAGAAAAAATTGTATTAGCAAATGGAACAGCAATCTGTAAGATCGAGACATCAGAGACTTTACAAGACATCAGAGAAAATACATGGAAGAGAGAAAGTATATGGAAGCTATTTAAAGAAGTCCAATACAGCTAAAAAGGCATGAGAAGAGACTGGAGAGGCAAGCTGAGGACTGATTTAGAATCTTGTAAGCCATGATAAGGACTGTGGACTTTATCGCAAGGACAAAAAAGTCACTAAAGGGCATTGTGATTGAAAGCAATATGACTTGGAAGTTGAGATCATTCTTGGTTCTCTGTGGAAAAACAATGGAGGTAGAGGAAGATGTCAAAATGGTGAGTTCAGTCAGAAGGCCAGTGAAGCAGAGCTATGAAAGTGAATGATGACTACATCAGTGCTACTAAAATTATGACGCATGGTCCAGCAACCCAGGTTACTCTGCATGAATATAAGAAGTTTGTGTCAAAATTTATGTCAATATTGACATTAAGCATACTGTTGCTAGAAGTATGCTGATTTCAGTTTGACACATAATCCTACCTTGAGAGACCAGCATATTGATTAACAATTGGCTTAGACTGGAATGGTAACAAAAGAGTTGAGGAGAAAGGCCAAATTCAACAAAAGTTTAGGTGGGTATAATCAATAGTATCTGAAGATAGACTGGAAGGAAGGGAAAAAATATCTTTTCTGGCTTGTTAATGAGACTGAAGTTGGTATCCTGCACTTTACTAACACAGGGGACACCAAAAACAGGAGTTGGATTGAACACACTAAGTTTGAAGACATTCATTAGTCTGCCAGGTTCCTAGCGTGGGTCTCTTAGGAGAGGTCTGAGCCAGAAAATGTGATGTGAACACTGAATCACAGAGGTTTAACTGACCTGTGAGAGCAGGTGAGGCCTCCCAGGCAGAAGGGGAGAACCTGACGAGGAAGAAACAGCCAGAGAAGTAGGGTAAATCTAGGTGAGGAGTATCAGAGACCAGGAAGAGAAAGAATTTTAAGACAATGGTATACAGCACCAATTATTATCTAAATATTAAGTAAGGTAAGGACTGAATCATATCACTGGCATTTAGCTACTCTAAGAATCACTGGTAACACTGGGAGGAGCAATTTGGGTAAACAGTGCTAAAACCGAATTATAATAAGCAGAGAAATGAGGAGATAATAAACAACAAAGATAGCCTATTTAAGAAGTCTGGTTATGAGTGAAAAGGGAGAAGAGAGGCAGGGTGATAGAAAGTACGTAGAGTTATAGATGGATGGATTCCAAGTTGAGGGTAAATTCATTTAAAATGAAAGAGGCTGAGAATGCTTGAAACTGTTGAAAAGTGGCCAATATAAAGAGAAATAAACGAGAAAGAGGGGATGACTGACAGTGCAGTCTCCTGAAAGGCAGAAGATGACAGGCTTTGGTGTTTATTGGTCTTAGACAACTAAACATGTATGCCTTTTATTAGAAGAGAAAGACAAGTGTGAGTATTAGCAGATTTTGCAAGAAAAGCTGATGGAAGTTTCATGTGATTTTCTTCTTCAAGCAAGTGAGTGAGGAGAGATATGGTGGAAGGGAAAATTTCTATCTGATATAGGCATTATGAAAAACAAAAACATGTCGACTGAAGAAATGTGAAGAGATTTTTTAAGTAGAGGGCTTATTTGTAGTTGATGCTGATGGATTTAAACTGCTACCAACTGTCAGATTATATATTATGTGATATTCTCTAGGTAGAGCCCAGATGCAGGCATGTAAAATGAACATTACTCTAGTTATCAAAAACGTAAATTTTACCAAAGGGTCTAGATTACTAGGCAATGGGACAAAGCAAGTTTAGGATACAAATTTCTTTTTCCTTCTCTAATAAGTGAAGTGTGAGTTCTGATACCGAATAACTACTTAATAAAACAATGATCTACTTTCTTGGAATTATAACTGAAGATGTTTGTCAAAAAAACCTGAGTATATACTTGTGGACAAACATCAATATTATAGTTGGGTGCTTATTATCTGTTCACAGAAGATTATGTGAAAATTTCAAAATTTCAGTTGACATAATTGAGGTACTATCTTTTATGATGAGATTAAATGTTAACTATGTATTACTTCAGATGAGATACACATATAAACTATTTTCCCCATAAGAATTATAGCCCAAATACAGTATAATTCCCAGTCATATTTCATTTAATTGGTCCTTTAACAAATACTTTTCCTCAGGGTCAGAAGAACAAGGAAAATATTCCACATCAAGAAAAATGTACACTATATTTAAATGTCTGAAGTTGTGAAAAATGCCACAGAAATCATGACTTCTAGATTGTCTCCTACTGATAAAACCTCATACCACATTGATTTTGGTAGCCAGGGCATGTGAAAACGGATACTTATTTTTGGAAAACAAGAATTCTATTTGTTAACCTATGCCTGAAAAGGAAAGTCTAATAAGATTAGATTACACCTGACAGCCAGTGAGGAGCAGCATGCTGGAGAGAAAGGATACTGAAAGAAGACTGAAAAAATGTCGACCTTACAGGTAATGTTAATTATAAGTAATGCACCTCTTTAAATGTTGGCATCCCCTTATAACACAGGAAAAACCCCTCTTTTGTAGACAATACAGAGTAGCGGTCAGAAAAAAATGACTATAGCACTTGGTAAACTATTACAATTATGTTACCATTACTTGTATAGTCTTTCTGCTACCTAAAACTAATTTTGTTCCTGAAATGAGTTGTGAGGATGGAAATGCAATGAAACAATTATTAAAAATGGTCTGGGCTCCACAGAAGTGATCTTGATCTGGAGGAGGCATTTAAGTATTAGAGACAATTAGTCTGAAAGTAAAACAAAGAATGAAAGGAAGAAAACCAGTTTAGACAAACCCAGGAGGTGGAGGTTGCAGTGAGTCAAGATTACACCACTGCACTCCAGCCTGGATGACACAGCAAGATTCTGTAACAAAAAAAAAAAAAAAGAAAGAAAGAAAAAGAAAAGAAAAGAAAGAAAATAGTTCAAACAACTAAAAATTTAGCTGGGCGTGGTGGCTCACGCCTGTAATCCCAGCACTTTGGAAGGCTGAGATGGGCGGATAACCTGAAGTCTGGAGTTCGAGACCAGCCTGACCAACATGGAGAAACCCTGTCTCTATTAAAAAAAAAAAAAGAAAGAAAAAGAAAACCAGTTAAGACAAAGGTAAGCTTATTAAATGGTTTCATAATAATGTCTTAATAATGGAATAGTAATAATAATGAGATACTACGGCACAAAAAGTTAGAGAGACAAAGATTTAAGACATACAAACAGAAGATTAAGATACTTGGAAGCAAAGATGTGGTATGCTATTTTCAGTGGCAGCCCTGATGGGAAATTTTACATGTCTTAATAACCTCACATCCTCCATATGACAATGACAAAGAAAGATAAATGATATGAATAAAAAGTTGACTAGAAACATATTCATGAATTTTTTTTTAAAAAAAGACATTAATACAGAGTTTTAAATAAACTGAGAACCTATCATAGCATTTGAGCCACATCTGTATTGATGTATTTCAGCGAAACTGTCTTGAAAACTAATTACTTTGAAACTCCCACTAAAAGCCACTTCAAATCTTACACAGATGTGCACCCACAATGTAATCCTGCTTTTTTCTTAAGAGCACAAACTTTTGCCCTTAAATTTAAAACAGAAACATGAAATAAAAGAAGCCTACATTATGATTAACTATAACTATGATTATCCTAAAAATAAACATTTCTTTTTTATGACAAAATATTAAGGTTTCTTAATATTTTAATGCCATCAATTACTACTAGCTATAATGCTACAAGGTATTATTAAGTATATATACACATATATATTTTACATATACATCTCAATGAAAAAAACATCATTAGCTCAAAAGAAAGACTTACTAGTTTTGCTTGTTGAGCATTTACTGGATCACCATACTGGAGCAAAGCTTGAAACTGGTTATTTTTTGTAAATGTGATTATTTTCAATACAGCACCAAACTTAGAAAATATCTGTCAAAACATTAAAATCAAAACATTATTTACTGAGTATATTATTATTTATCTAATTTATAGATAATTGCGCAGATTAAACTTACTTGGTGAAGAACATCAAGTGTTACAGGGTAGTACATGTTGTCAATAATTATTCTAAGTACTGGACTCTGGGCTGGAGTCACCGCACTCTCACTAACTGTGGTGCCACTAAGAGGAGTATTTGCTGTCTGGACAGCTGTCACAGCTTGAAGAACTGCTTGAGCACGCTGGAAATTAAGATTAAGTAGTTTAGAAACACATCTATTAATGTCACATACTCTGCAACCTGTTACACTACTAGTTCACTTTGTTCCTAGAACTTACACGGATTAAACAAAATTTAATGCCCACTCGACAATTATTTTTAAGCACCTGGTATTACGAGTATATGACCCGGGTATTAACTGTTTAATATATCAAATATTCTACTAGTATTTTATTCAAAAAAAGTATCCAGGCTTTGGGATCAATGCTGAACAAGAAAAAAGATAGGATATGTAATCCATTCTCAGAAGAACAAGACACAGTTTTACAGACACCTCTATGCTCAGAAAATGTTTTAAACAGAAATTTAGAGAGTAATACTTTAATCACTCCATATAACAGATACATCATAAATCTCAACAAGGGGGTTATTAAATTATCCAAAATAACTCCCAGGAAGCTTATTATTTCTAATACAGTCTTAAAATAGGAGCAATTAGAATATAAATTTTTCATACTACACTTAACTTCTGAGACTAAAATTTTTAGACTAGAAACTGATGTGTACTCCAGTCCAAAACCACAAAATTTTCAGGTAAACTTTAAGTTATAATATGAAGGGTATTTCTCATGTGTTTTATGGTATCACATACACCATCAATTATAAAATGCACTATTGTTTTATGTACAACTAATAAGATGTTGCCAACTCTATAAATAGACTATTGTAGGACACATCAAATTTCTGATTTTAAAATGTGAAAAAATATATCCGTAAACTTGAATAAACACAGTATTTGTAGAAAAATCTGTCAATCAAATAATATGTTAAATGCTCCAAAAGACTGCCTTTATTACTATTATCCCTTTCCATTATTATTATGACAGATTCTATGATAAGGAAATAATTTCTTTTTACCTTATCTGTGGCCAAAAAACATACAAAGGCAAATAGTTCTAAAATATAACAATGACAAGTACCACAAATACCTACACATAGCTTTACAAAGTTTGAAAAATCTATATTAACAGGTTAATGACAGGAAAAGAAAATACAGAAGAATTAGGACACTTGGGAGAAAAAACAGAACAGTCACTTTACTAAAATATTATAAAATCACAGATCACATGGCTTGACAATGAAAGAGTCCACATACATATCTAAACAATCATTTAAATGCTACTTAATAATTTTATGTATAAATGTACATATTAGCCAAAATAACTTAATTAAAACCCAACAATTTGAAATATATTATTTATTTTAGCAGACATCTTGATATTACTGAAAAATAACTGTAAATTGGTAAAATCAGATTTTGAGAGCAGTATCTATTCAAATGTTTAAACATATTTAAATATTTTAAGTAGCTCATTGCAATATTATTTTCATTAGTGAACATGTTCTTACTACATTTATCTGTAATAACAAGCATAAGACTACCACAACTTAGAAAAACACTAACATCTGCTGCTTCAAATAATAAAATGTGTTTTTAAAAATAGGAATCCATGATAATGATATGACAGTGGTGTAAAAGATTAAAAATTCCCCTGCAACTCTGTCACCCAGTTTACTTACTCCTACCAACCCCTCACAGTATTATCTTAGGCATCCTTCCAAAGATACTATCTACATCTGCAAGTATATATGTATTAATCTTATACTTATTCCATACTTTTTCCCAATACTATTTTTATTTTTATTCAATAATATTTATACTTTTTAATTCAATACTATTCATACTTTTATTTAATACTATTCACTGTTCTCTATTTTCCTTTTATGGCTTAACAATCACGTTTTCCCACATCAGTAACAAATTACTTCATACATTTCTATATTATTTCATTTTTTAATGAGTTCATATATTTTTTCTGTAATTCATGGAGCAAAGTTGGCTTGCCAACCTATATTTTAATAAAAACTCTTATCAAAATATTACACACACACAGAGAAAAGGATATAAATCTTAAGTGTATGAAACTCCGTAAAATACCACAAATTGGGCATCTTTGTGAAATAACTACCCAGATAAAAAACAGCACATTATCAACCTTCTAGAAGCCATACTCATGCTTCCTCCAAGTTACATAAATGGAATCTTATCAGATGTGTTCTAGTTTGGTTTGGCTTCTTTCAATAAATGTATGATGTACACTACCCATGTTTTGCAGGTAGCAAGCAGTAGCTTGTTCATTTTTATTATCATATAGTATTCCACTAAATGAATACACCACAACATATTCTGCTGCTGTTCAACATTTGGATCATTTGTAGCTTTGGGCTATTACATACGGTGTTCCATTCACTTTCTAGTACATATCTTTTAACACACCTATGTATATGTTCTCAGGTATGTAACCAGGGGCGAGTTTACTATGTCAAAAATAGATATATGCTCAACTTCAGTAGATATTTCAAGTTTTCAAAAATGGTCCTTTCATCATATATATGAGAGTTCAAGCTTTTCTACATTGTCACCAACATTTTATCACCTATCCTTTTAATTTTGACCACTCTGGTTATATGCATAGCAGTATCTCATTTGGAGTTAAGGCTCTCAATCCAAACCTAATCTACTCTTTGCTTATCAAGAGATAGCTTTTAGGAGAAGAAATAGCTAAACGGGGACCTCAAGATATTTAACACTGGCCATGTGAAGTGTGAGGTAGAAGTGTGGTGCACAAGGTAGGCCAACCTACAATATTCCATGCATGAGAGCAGTGACATAATGGTAGAAATGACTGACATCAGGAGAAAGCATGCCAGGTTACAGGATGCACCATTATTTTACGGACAGAAGCATAAGCAAATAGGGTGGGGGTAGTCATAAGACAGAGGACAAAAAGTAGTGATCTCAGAAAGGGCCTTTACCCTAAGCATGAACAGGATTTACTGCACAGGAGGAACTTAATATGTGCATTTGAGAAAGATATTAGCTGGTTGTACTAGAGAGAAAAAATTCCAAGAGGGAAAAGAAAAAGAAAGAAAGTAGTTTATTAAGGGAAATGTTGTAGTAACATAGTCAAAAGATGAGTGTGTTTGAGCAATACAAGTAGCAGGAAAGATGGAGAAAACTACGCAGATAATTAAAAAGTGTGAACGAAAAGGACCTGATGATTTCATGAAGAGATGTGGAAGAATTGATGGTTAACGCATATTCATCTGCATGTCTTCTATTATGAAACCCTATCAAAATGCCTAGAAGTAAATGAATATAAAATAAACAAACACTGAAGGGAGTTAAGGTCATCATTAGCTAAGAATAATTTTATCAAATTCCTAGAACACTGAAAATGGAACCAAGTTGGTAATTGGCAGGTTCACAGGAGGAGAGAGTGGGTGAAAAAAGGATGAACCGAAAGTCTAGCTCATTAACAAAGAGTTAAATTTCTCTTCTCCCTCTTTTGACCAACTTGTCCCCTCACCATTAAAAAATAACAGAAAACTCTTCCTTTAAGAAACCAGAATTTCTTTTCTTCTCTCTCTTTTTCTTTTTAAGAGACTGGGTCTTACTTTGTTGCCAAGGCTGGAGTACAGTCGTGTGATTACAGTTCACTGCTGCCCTGAACTTGCATCAGCCTTTCAAAGTGCTGGGATTATGGGCACGAGCCAAAGTGCTCTCCTGGTACCAGATATTCTAAAGGGAGTTTTGTTGGCGCCCAGAATAAAGGCCTCTTTGGTATTTAGGGGTGGGGATAACAGCTTAGTACACATTCTTCAGTACTTTATCCTAGAGGAAAGCACACAACTCTAACAAAGTCTAATTGTCCATTCTGAAATATGAAAAGACAACAAAGCGGGGATGAAAGAGAGTGAGAACAAGATAAACAGAAATTCTAACACTGAAAAAATGATAACTCAGTATATACTGACGTATTTTTTAAATACTGTAATTAGTATCCTCAAAGTACCATTAAGTCGTAAGACACAACCAACTACAAAAAAAAGATGACCAAAGGAGATTGAAGGGCTTTAGAAAAGGAAAAATATAATTATAAAAACTTTTTTTTTTCAACAGAAGGAACTTCGCATTGATTATTCCTTCTGTCTGGAATAAGTGGCTTATTCCCTAACCACTTTGAAGTTCATTATTCAAATATCCCCCTCAATGCGGCATCTACCAGTCATCCTATTTAAAATTACAAGTCTCCCTCCTCCACATACATCTATGTAGGTGCTCCAGCTTTATGCTTCTGTTTTTTTTTTTTTTTTTTTTTTTTAAGATGGAGTCTCACTCTGTCACCCAGGCTGGAGCGCACTGGCACAATCTGGGTTCACCGCAAGCTCTGCCTCCCGGGTTCAAGCAATTCTCTTTGCCTCAGCCTCCAAGTAGCTGGGATTATAGGCACCTGCCACCATTATCAGCTAATTTTGTTTTCCTTTTTGTATTTTTAGTAGAGACAGGGTTTTGCCATGTTGGCCAGGCTGGTCTCAAACTCCTGATGTCAGGTGATCCATCTGCCTCCCGAAGTGCTGGGATTACGGGCGTGAGCCACCGCACCTGACCCCAAGCTTTACTCTTTACATGTTCCTTTTGTTTAATCTTTTAAAATGAGAATGTGTTCGCAAATTACTTGAATAATAATGAAATACAAATAGGATATTACAGCATTTTAAGAAGACACTGTGTATGCTAAGTGAATAAGCCAAGCAAATAAGACAAACGCCACATTATCTCATTTATATGCGGAATCTTAAAAAGTTGAACTCATTTTAGTAGAGAGTAGAAAGATAGTCACCAGAGGCTTGAGGAGGGAAGGAGTGAACAAGGAAAGGGGAGATGATGGTCAAAGTACAAAGTTTCAGAGAGTAAGAATGGGTTCTGGTGGTCTACTGCACAGCATGGCAACTATTGTAATGCATATTCTTTTGTTGTGATATTGTAAAATAAACATTTAGTCCTCAAACCCATTTCCTGGCATACAACTCTAAATTCCTAGTAAATCTCCAAAGTGATTGATATAGTTCGTATGCTAATGACTTGGCTTATGGTTGATAGTCCCACTTCAGGATGGGGGCTGGTCACCTGAAATATCTAGGCATAATTAGAGGCATATTATTACCCTCTATAATATCCTATACAATAAGCTGGTAAATGTTTCCTTGAGTTCTGTGTGCTGATCTAGCTAATTAACAAAATCCAAAAAGGGGGTTGCGGAAACCCCAACTTGAAGCTGGTCAATGAGAAGTTCCGGAGGCTTGACTTGCTGGTGTCTGGGGAGGTCTTGCGGGACTGAGCCCTCAACCTATGGGATCTGATGCTATCTCCTGGCAGAAAGCATTGGAACTGAGCTAAGTTGGAGAACACTGGCTAATGTCCACTGTAGTCCTGACTGCTTGCTTGGCATGTGGAAAAAAACTCCCCTACATTTGTGGCCACAGAAGTCTTCTGTGCTGATTGTTGTGGTGTGAGAGCAGAGGAAAAAGTTTTTCTACATTCCACTGTATACCTCAAAATAGCTAAAGGATTTTTAAATGTTCTTACTATAAAGAAATTGTAAGCATTTGAAGTGATGAATATGTTAACTAGCCAGATTTGATCATTCCTGAATATATACATATCAGAACATCACATTGTAAACCATAAGTATATACAATTATTTGTTAAAAATAAGTTAAAAATGACACACACAAAAAAAATCTAAGTAAAAAGAAAGAAGAGCGGATACTTTTGGTATACTTAGTCTTGATAAATTATTAGAAGTATACATTATTTTTCAAAAAAATTAAAAATTTATCATCAAATTTAAAAAAATGCTGAAATTTGAGCCTTATCTTTCAGGTCAAAAGTTTTACAAGCTTATTTTTCATAAACTATCGACACGACTTTGTTACTGTAAAAAGTGACAAAAATCTATGAGGCATAGTTTTCTATTACATTTTTAAGAAATGTACATTTAAGAAAAACTTTGTATTTTACTCAAAGAGAAAGATACAATTACTTTTAAAACTATACTAAAAGAACTAAAGTTTCAGATCATTACAGGAGTCTTACAGTGTAGGTCAAAAAATATTCTAGGCCAGGCACGGTGGCTCACCCCTGTGATCCCAACACTCTGGGAGGTTGAGGTGTTGGGTCACCTGAGGTCAGGAGTTCAAGACCAGCCGACCAACATGGAGAAACCCCCTCTCTACTAAAAATACAAAATTAGCCAGGTGTGGTGGCATATGCCTGTAATCCCAGCTACTTAGGAGGCTGAGGCAGGAGAATCACTTGAACCCAGGAGGCAGAGGTTGCAGGGAGCTGTGATTGCGACACTGCACTCCAGCCTGGGCAACACAAGTGAAACTCTACCTCAAAAGAAAAAACAAAAAACAAAAACAAAAGCATTCTAATACTATTTTTTAGATACATGAATTTTAAACAGTATCTTCTACATTATATTTTTTAAACATCAATACATTCGTATATTCTTCATTCTTAAGACTTCTTTTCCAGGAAAATCATTCACACATTTAAAAAAAATTTTTTCCATAAGAAATTAAGACGTATAAAAAGTCAAATAACCAAAGGCACCCAACTTCATACCTTAAATTCTAAGCAGGAGAATTGTATAAATAGTTTATACTACTAATAAATCCTACCTGATAGTTTCTACACAAAAATTTTAACTTGCAGCAAGAAAAACTACATTTGACCAGGGCTTTAAAGGAATTCAAACTGACATAGTATTTAATACTTAGAAACATTCTGCAAAAAAAATACCTTAAAAATTACAAGAAAATGTCTGTAAGAAACATCTGAATGGGTTAACATTTCCTTCCTGTTAATGTTTATGAGAGTCATAATACTTTCTAGGCCATTTTATTTATGTACCTACACATACTTACTTGGTTTAATGTGTTATCTGTCTTTAGTTCTTTGTGATTAGAGTACTGGATATATATCGGTTGGTTACGAAGATGAGGTGTCACAGCAGAATAGTAATTAACCATAGTAATAGCTGCTTCCTCGGTTGCTAGCTCCAAAAATGCCTGAAAATTTAAGTAGCAAAAATTTTAATACTATAAATTAAATTCAAATAAAAGTATCTGTGCAATCTATTCAGCTGATTTTAATCAATTATCTAAAATATTTTTCAAGTTACTTTTAAATGTTCTAATAAGTAGAATTAGAAATCTCTTATTGAAGTTTAGGTATGCAGTTAAAGATAACCTAAGAAGAAAACTAAGTACATGCCATTTCTGCTTTCCACCCATGATTTTCACACCCACAAATCTATTTCCACAACAAAGGCTAGAGAAAATGTAAACATTTTCTGGCATCAGAATTTTACCACTTCTATCCTAGAGAATATAAGATTTCAAAGTCATTTCAAAAGTAATATAATTTTATAGAGACAAAGCAAACAATTACAAATTAAATGTCAGATTAACATTACATAAAAGGGAATGTTAAATTTCATACATTCTTCCAAATGGTATCATTAAAAATTTTAAAGAAAATTTCATATTCTCATAAAGTAAGCTTAAGGAAGGATGCGACTAGTACCTCTACTGACTTCTGATATCACAAAGAGCAGAGCCACAGTAAAAGAAATACTTCATTTGTATTTTCCACAATTTTGTAACAATTATTCAATTAGAGCCTTAAAGTGAATTCAAAAGGCACAGTTTAAAAACTACGGTGACTCATTCACTTTGGCTACCTAGCATTTGTTTCCCACAGACATCTACTCGAAAAAGTGAGACTAAGACTTCTGTTCTTTAAGAAAAATAACCTACTATTTTCTCCCTTTTACAATTAATTCACACTGCTGGATATAGTTTGGGGTTTAACATTTTATAACCCCCGAAAGAAGTGTACCTGATTTTTTCCTTTCAGCATAAGGATGTTGGTCACCTTGCCAAAAGGTAAGCCTAAAGCAATAACTTCAGTTTCTGTTACTTCCCCAGGTAATTTTCGAATATGAAGTACACGAGAAGGAGCACCATCCATTTTATCTTCTCCTTTAAATTTTTTACTATCATTACCATTGGCTGAAAGACATTAAAAAATAATCTTTATATAGCAACAATAAAAGAATGTATGAATTTTCCTATTTGTGTAAAAACCTACAAAACAAATTTCCAAAAAGAACTTAAAAACATAGCTGGGAATACTTAAAATTCAAAAACTAGGCTTTCGAAGGAATAAAACCATGTCCACCTATTCCATAATGAAATTATCAATTAGTTAAGACTGTTGTTTATATATTTCTCAGCAACGTTGTAAAGAGTAATTATTAATAAGCACAACATTAAAATGTAATCTCATAAAGAAACTGTCCAATGACTAAACAATACAATCACAGTCGTGTAACACATGACTACATTTCGGTCACTGACAGGCCACATATACAATGGTGGTCCCATAAGATTATAAATCAGTATTTTTATTATACCTTTTCTGTTTGGATACACCAATACTTCCTATTGTGTTACAACTGCCTCCAGTATTCAGAACAGTAATATGCTGTACAAGTTTGTTGCCTAGGAGCAAAAGGCTACCTACATATACCATAAAGCCTGCATGTGTAGCAAGTTTGTGTAAATGTACTCTATGACATTTACGCAATAACAAAATTACCTAACAATGCATTTCTTAGAGGGTATCCCCACCACAATCTCCAAGAATTATGACTGTATACTGTAATTTAATCATCTTTTAATGGACAAACAAATATTTCTAAAAAGTGTAAAGCTGGGCTGACAAAAATTGGGAGATTATAATTTAACTGAGAAATTAAAAATTGTTCGATTTGGAAAATGTATTTGAAGGTGGGATCAAAGAATGTAAGGCTTATAAAAACGATTATGCAGTCAATCCATATTATGGCTTATCTACAAGGAGCCTCTCCTAATATATTACTATTACCAACTAAGCTACATCAATATACTGTAAATCACTCATGAACTTAATTACCTTGTTCTGTTACTGTGAGATTTAAACTAATATACTTCATTAGTTAACTGCTTTCATTTCAAATATTCACCAAAAATAAAAATATTCAAAATGCCTATAAAATAGGTAATATTTAAATGGAGTTGTTTAAAGGAGTTGCAGTCTATCTACTACGCCAGATAAATGGTTCTTAATCTTTTAGCAACTCAAGGAGATTTCTGAGACTGTAGCTAAAATGAAGGATCTCGACACATTCAGAAATAAACATGTATACTCCACTTTGCGTAAAACTTTAGGTACTTTATGGTATTTCCCAATACATTCAACACAACCTATAAACAATATAATGTATTTGTGTATGTTCAACAATATCTGTAAGACTAAGATTATCTTGGTCTCCAAGTGTCTTTAAAATCAATTTACTCATTAATTCTTAAACATTTACTGAGTATTCAGGGATGCATCTAGCAATGTTTTAAGTTCCGAGGGCACAGCAGAGTGAACGAGATGATTATGATTCCTGATACCCTATAGTGGGAGAGCTGGACTAACTAGTACATGAACCAGATACTTTCTTACAGTGAAAAGTGCTATGAATAAAGTAAAACAGTGGTGTGATTAAAAGTGACTTTGTCTAGGACAGGAAGGTGATAGTAGTAATGACTTTATTTGATGACCAGAGAAGGTATCTCTAAGAGATAATATATGGACTCAAGCTATACTTAAGTCATATTTTACCTTAGGAGTTTCACTTAGGTTTATATACTTGAATGACTAGCCAATGCAATTAAAAATCCCTTTAGGTTGTCTTTGCACAGAAGAGTGAGCTCCGGCTTCTGAATGCATTACCCTGTAAATCTTGGCTGGCTAGCTCTTCACCACTCCAGAAATATGAAAAAACTACAGCAAGCTATCACACGTCCTTTCACTACTAACAAAGATTTGTGTGTGCACAGGCACCTTGTCAAAAGGAAGAAGACTGAACTTTCTATTTTGTCGTATCTTATCTAACAAATTCATCTCTAGGCCCGTTAATTGAAAATGTAAGCTAAAGCACAGAATTCAAAAAATACACATATACTTTAAAACATATAATTGGCGCACACACACACACACATATTACACATACTCTTCTGATGTAAGACTAAGACTTTTTTGACAAAGTAGACTGAGTATAGAAACTTGATAGTTTGTTATTGTTCATTATTTTGTTTGAATAACAACAACAAATACTTTACAGTGCAACCTAAAGCCCCATGTGTTATAGGTTATGGTATCAAGATATTCAAAAAAGCAAATTTCAGTTTCTCCTAAACTGGTCTATTTCCTTCTGGAAGAAAGACAAGGAAAAAAAAAAAAACACCAATAAAGATAGCATCACTGTACCCATAAGAAGAAACAAGGCTTCTCCTTTCAAATGATTTTCAGAAAACAATTCCCAAAAGGCAAAAACCTGCCTAAACCTATTATTAAAGAAATCAAATAATTTATTATTTTGGATTTGTGCTGGATGTTTTCTGGACAGTGGATGTTAAGCAGAAGTAAAACAGCTGAATAATACAGAAAGAAGTTAGGAGACCTTTAAGAATTGAAGGATAAGACAAAGATCTTGACTCCTTGGAAAAATATAGAAAAGATATAATTTTATTTTGCATCAATATTTAACATTCACTGCAAATTAAATACATGCCAGGCAATTTACAACTCTCAGATTGCTATCATCATAACCTATCAACCACATTTACAGGTAACAATTAGTTAAATGTCCAAGATTAGTTACTAAGTGGTACATATAGGAAGTAGTAGAGAAAGGATTAAATTCAGGGACTATGGTTTTCCATAGTCTGTGCTCTTTAACAACTACACTATAGAAGGGTCTCAAATACAAACTTTACATACAGATTGCCTAAAAAGATCTGTCCTTTTCTCACAAAGACCAAGCCAGTTATATAGTTAAATTATTAACATTTACACTACCTGCCACTTACTTAGTTAGCTAATAGCTTCAAGAGGGTGACTACTAAGCGTTCATCTCTTAGTGCAAAATACTATAAAAGTCTTCATTTTAAATAAATGATACTATGAGAATGTGAAACTGGGAATGGAGACTCCATTAGTAATACAACAAAGCCTATTTTCAAACACAAAAATACTCCAGCAACACCGAAAAGGGGCCCCAAAACGTGTGGTTCACAGCTTATGAAACATTAGGTCTGATTGTGCTACAGTTCTATGATTCTTCATCATCTTCCCATGATCCTGAATGGGAAAGGTTTACTGTAGGAATGGAAGGAAAGATCTCTTTCATTCCCTCAGTAAACCTAGAACTTTTGTTTGGGTGTGTAAAACTAGTAATAATTCAAATGCTTACGTTCAATTAAGGCATGAGGTAATGCTTTTATTTATGCATGTAAATTTTATTCATTGCATATGAATGTAGAAATCTTTAAGCACACCATTTTCCATATATTACTCAACTCTTTTAAAGCCTCTGCTAAGGGAAGATGTTCAGGTATTCAGATTCAAAGTAAACAAAATAAACCATTTTAAAATGCTTTCTACTTGAACACTTCTTTTCCAAACTGAAAATCAGTTTTCTACCTCAATTCTAAAGCCAGCATCTTCGCCTCTGATCAGTACATCACTTTTCTTCTACTGACTGATCTTTGTTCTCCACTAGCTTTTACCTGCAATTTTTATATAAATGGGTGTCACCAAGATCATGGGTAATGTTAAATCACCACATCCATCAGTCAATAAGGAACTGTGAACCCTCACTTCCTCACCAAATTTCTCTAATAGCACCCCTAAAAATTTCCACTTCTACTTTTCTCATTTCCCCTGACTCATTTGATACTTGCTTTGAATCCTGATTATTTACTCATTCCCCAAAATTGTTAGTTTCCCATGCTATTTTTGTTACAATGCTCTACCTATCTTTACTTATTAAATTATAAACACTCTAGCACCTGGGTTTCACAGTATCTATCTATCTGTCTGTGTCTGTGTCTGTCTGTCTGTCTATCTATCTACCTATCTGAGACAGTCTTGCTGGAGTGTGGTGGCATGATCTTACTTCACTACAACCTCCACTTCCCGAGTTTAGGTGATTCTCGTGCCACAGCCGCCCAAGTAGCTGGGATTACAGGTGTGCACCACCACAGCCAGCTAATTTTTGTATTTTTAGCAGACACAGGTTTATCATGTTGGCCAGACTGGTCTCGAACTCCTGGCCTCAAGTGATTTGCCCGACTCAGCCTCCCAAAGTGCTGAAATACAGGCATGAGCCACTGCACCTGGCATACTTTCTCATACAATTTGTAAATTATCTTAGTCCTACTCATTCATCATACTTTCAACTGTGTACCAATATAAAATACAACGTTGCAAAACCTTATACTTCTGTCCAACAAAAACTAGTGACAAAACTTAAGTACATCTTCATTCTCCAAGTCTTTCAGAGACTCATACATTTATAAAAGTTTTCCTACTCTGTCAAATATGAAACTGAGAGGCTAAGCAGTTTTAGACTTAAAGGCAGAGCAGCGCTTGCTAGCTTTAGAAAAACAAAAAACAAAATAAACTCTAAGCTAAGAAAAACAATGAATACTGCTACTCTTTTCCGTATGAGAAACAAATTCCAAAGAAGATTTAACGAGACAAAAAAAGCTGGTAGATGCAGATTGGTGATGCTTCTTTTTCTGCTGGTTGTTAACTGCAACAGCCACCACACCAAAAGCCTCACTAGGTTTCCGTAAAAGGTAACTATTAACTCTTTTATTTGTAAGTAGTTGTGTAGCCTAGTTGCCAAAAGTATATTAGGCATAAGCTGGAAAAAAACAGAAAGCACCTAGAGAAGGCTCTCACTACCTTTATATGCAAGGAGGTTAAGTTGTTAAAATGCTAATAAATCTTAAAACTCTGAAATAATCTACTGGAATACTCTCAAAACATTGTAACAAAACGAAATGACATCACCACAAAAATGTAAGTCTATAAAAGTTAAAATTAAAATCTTAAACGAGTTCTAAGTAAAATGTTCCAGACTCTATGGAATGGTTTAAGTGCTTTCCAGTAGAGCAAAATGTCATTTTTA